GAAAGGAAAAGCCTATTTAAACTGCAGTGTCTCTGTATGCTGGTTTGTATGTTCTCCAACACAACTCTCACAACGCTTCGCTGAATTTACTCGCTCTCCCAACGGGGAGCTTACCTAACATTGAGTTTCAAGCTCTATACACAGTGGCTGTGGACTTCCATTTATTTATTTATTTGTAAATTTTATTTGCCACCTATTTCCCCCTAGGGCTCCTCTGCATGTAAACAGAAGTAAAATACTAAAACAATCAAATAATAGAACAATAAAAGAATCAATGACAAAAGAATACAATGAGAACAAATACTTCAATATGACAACCAAAAACATGGACAGGTAGAGAGAGCAGAGATACTTGTCTCAGACACGGGGCTAAGGTGGGGCTTATTTAGCCATGCACAGATTCACACAGCCATTATAAACCAGGTGGCAGGCCTCAGCCATCTTTTCTTTGGGATCTCAGGCTTGCCACACTTTCTATTATTCTAGTATGCATTTTCTATTGTGGGAAAATGGGAGGGGAGATTTTACGGAGTTAGATGATATGTAGCCATAACAACATTCTTTCTAGAAAGCCAAGGTCATTATCCTTTGTCTTTGCACCTCTGCACCTGACTGGAACTGGATGGGTGGAAGCTGCCAGTATGGCAGTGGAAGATTGGACCATGTGGGTGTGGGGGAAAGATCTTGAATTTTCAACTAGTTGGGGAAAACCAGGAAGCTTTCAGATTCGGGGTTTTCCCACATGTGCCAACATGGCTCTCTTAATAAATTGGAACTTTGAGCAATACTTTGCCTTGGAGTCTGATTTAATTTTGGAACCCTGATACCATGATTTGCAAACAACAGTTGGGTTTATACATGAGCTGCCCATAACTTGTTGCATTTGGGCTTTACGTATTTATTTGGATTTATATTAGAAACGGCCCACCTCTGTCGTAGAGCGACTCCGGGCAGGTACAAGTAGAAGTAAAAAATACAAAAGCTATATATATATATATATATAAATAATAGAAGGCAATCAAAAACAAGAATAAAATAAAAACTATGGTTTTAACCCAGTGATAAGAATAAACATCTCTAGCTTCAGTACTTTTTTGTGGTTGTTGTTGCATACAAATCTTTGGCCAAATGGAGGTGAGAACCCAGGGGTGTCCAAACTTGGCAAGTTTAGAGGCCTGTGGACTTCAATTCCCAGAATTCCACAGCCAGCCATGCTGCCAACTATGGTAGCAAGTGAAACTAGTATCTTGACATGTTTTTCCAGGCTCTCCACCCACCCCAAAACTTTCCAACGTTTTGCAACTTACTGATCTGTTCTTCAACCGCATGGATGAGATGGATGTCATATTGGGTCACCAGCGTGATGGCAATTCCATGCCGACCTGAAAAGAACGGCCAGGAGAGAGAACCTAAGTGGTGGGCACAGATGGTTCTTCCCCCCTTCCCTTAAGAAAGCAAAAAGGTCATAGGCGTGATCAAGTGGTGACCCGCTTAACAACCTCGACTTGCAATGATAATTCTAGGTTCAATTACGGTCGTAACGTGAGGGCTACCTATAAATAGCCTTGAGGTGATGAATGCAAAGAAAAAGCACGTCGGCACATTGAAAAAGTCCAGCAAGAAGAAGATTTCAGCACAATGTACAGAATAAACAGCATCTTTCCCTGGGCAAGGATGCTCAAGGCCTTTTGATTAGAAGGTGGGGAATCCCAGAGGGAGGCCTCTTTCTAAAGGCCAGTTCAAACATCAATCAAAGTGGGCTCTGAAGCCCCAAAGATCATAACCCTTAAGGATTCCTGTTGCTTCCAAGGAGAACAAACCAGAGTCAGAAAGGACAATGTGGATTCGAAGCAATGAAGAGAATCCCCCTTACCAGCTCGGGCTGTTCGGCCCACCCTGTGGATGTAGATTTTGGGGAGTCCAGGTGTGTTGTGATTGATGACGACTTGGACGGTGGGAATGTCGAGCCCCCTAAAATCCGAAAGAAATTGAACGCAGAGAAGATGGTTAAGCTTGGCATCCTACCTAACCTGGGACCGTGTTCCCTTCTGCACCTATTTTAGCCCCAGACTGGCTTCACTCACCTGGCAGCTACATCGGTAGCTATTAAGATCTTAAAGACACTCGATTTGAATTTTGCCAGCGCTGCAAAACGTTGTTTCTGAGCCCCCAAAAAGAGAGAAAGAAAAAAGAACATCACGAGAGCAGGAAATTGCTTTTATCAAGCTTGCTTTCTCTAGCAATGGTGTTGTGGCCCGCCAGCGGCCAGCGGAGCTGGTAGCAGAGTCGGACAGTGAGGAGGTTGGGGAGGAACCTGGGCCAGTCCTGGAGTCTGGGGAAGGCTCTGAGGAGGGCTCTGTGTCGGAGGAAGAGAAAGGGCCAGGGCTGTCTGACAGTTCTTAGCTGCCTTTGGAGCTAGACAGCAGTGAGGCAGAGGAACAGCTGGAGCCTGTTCCCAGTGTGCGCATGCACAGAGCTGCCAGAAGAAAAGAACAGCTAAGAAATCAGGGTCGACTTGGGAGTAAAGCCACAGGTGGATGGTGAATGGCCCCTCCCATAGGGAATAAAAGAGGAGCGAAAGGGGAGTGGGCTTTTGCAGGAAACAATCCGTTCAGTCATTAGATTTGTTTCAGGAGTGTGAAGATCTGTCCGTGAATCTCAGAGACTCTGTGCCCAGTCTTTTCTTGCACAGCACCTCA